CCATAACATAAGAATTTTTATACATTAATTTCAAATTTATTCTATAGAGTTTTAACTGTGCAACAATCCCTCTTAAAAATAAGAGTCTAATGGCCATATTTATATCAGTAGTGATAGACATTGACAAATATTTAAGCACTAATTATACTCAAAATATTTTCAAATGAAGAATGATATCAAGAATCTGTGGATTAGGGTGGCGCCTGTGGCTCAAGGAGTAGGGCGCCAGCCCATATACCAAAGGTGGTGGGTTTAAACCTTAGCCCCAGCCAAAAACTGCAAAAAAAAAAAAGAATCTGTGGATTATCTTTTTAGTCATAAGATCATACTCATTAAAAATTATAGCACATGAATACCCTGAGCATATAATTGCTTTAGTAGAGAGACATTGTACTAGAATAAGATTCTCTTCTGAGATATATCATTTCTTCTTTATTTGAAACTGGAAAAACTGTGTCCCTTAAAACCAAAAGGCCTTAAAAATTGAAAATAATTTGTTAACTTAATAATTCCTAATTAGAACTCTGATCAATGTTAAAGAAGGATACAATGAACGCTATCTGGGTGATGGGCACAGTTAGTTAACCCTAACTCAAGTATAACAAAAGCAATCCATATAACCAAAAAACATCTATACCCTTGTAATAATATCAGGAACATGACAAGGAGAGGTGGAACAGAAAAAAATAAAATAAAATTTGGCTTGTTCTTGTAAAACAAAGTAACTTTTCTAGGGAGTCCTAGATAACTTGAGTGCAAGGAGAAATATACATATTTATTAAAGAATCAAATGAAAATAGGATATTGTGTAAAACCTAATGTGTAGATTTAATAACATAACTTAGGTTAAAAGGTAAATTTATTATATTTTTCATCTTCTGTAACTGTCAAAACCTTCTTAAATGAAAGGAAAGGGACTGTCTTTTTTTTTTTTTTAAGACACAGTCTCACTCTGTTATCCCAGGCTAGTGTGTCGTGGTATCAGCCTACCTCACTATAACTTCAAACTCCTGGGCTCCTGTGATTCCCCCTGCCTCAACTTCCCGAGTAGCTGGAGTTCAAGACCAGCCTGAGTAAGAGTGAGACCCGGTCTCTACTAAAAATAGAAAGGGAATGACTTTGAAACAGTCCTAACCCACAGGAACAGTGAGAATGGGCTTGGTAATAACGGGGGATGAAATATTCCAATAAATGTTTGGCAGATGGAAGAATGTTAATAGACTTGGTAGATCAGAAATCCCACCCACATGTCTGAGAGCAGGAAGGCCCAGAAGGTAGCCATTCTCCCTGCAGAGCCCTGAGTGCCACCCAGAGGAGAAGAGAAGCAAAAAGCTCCAAACATGGACTTGAGGTCAAGTCCCTGGGTCTCCCATCATAGCTGGCAAATTGAATGTTCTCTACTACCAGTAGAAAACAGATATATTTTCCAAAAAAACTGAACCATCAAGGACCAAGGAGAGTGAGGCTGAACTCAGGAGAATTCAGTGAAAATCTACAAAATGAATAGGCTTTCCTGAGCCTGGTTTGTCCACACTGTTCCCAGAATGGCAGCAGGCAGATCGAAAGTTTCCTCAGGCAAGATATTGGAAGAGCATTCTCTGAAATTTAGATACGGACTTGGGGAACCTTTAAAGGAAAAATCTCCTTTTTTTTTTTTTTTTTTATAATGAAGGCCACCAGATGACAGTCTCAACTATAAATCACAGAGCTTCCAACAGCCTTTTTCATGCCTTCTTCATAATTACTAAAGGCCAGCCAGGATCACTAGACTGTTAAGAAAAGTCTCTTAACAAGTAAAAAGAAAAAGAGATGAAATTAAGCAGAACATATACACACACATAAATAAATAAACATAGAAATCACAGAAATAATTCCCAGTGCTGAAGACAAATGTTTATATTACCCTGAAAAAGAATAAAAGCAGGATTCCATGAAAATGGAATAAAGAGCAACATGGAATTTATAGAAATTAAAATATGACAATGTAAGTTAAATATTCAATAGAATAACTGGAAAATAAAGTTAAAAACATAAATACAACAAAGATAAAAAAACTAAAAGAATTATTCTTTAAATTAGGAGATCACTGGGCAGTGCCTGTGGCTCAATGGGTAGGGTGCTGGCCCCATATACGGGAGGGTGGCGGGTTCAAACCCAGCCCCGGCCAAACTGCAACAAAAAAATAGCCGGGCATTGTGGCAGGCACCTGTAGTCCCAGCTACTCAGGAGGCTGAGGCAAGAGAATTGCCTAAGCCTAGGAGTTGGACGTTACTGTGAGCTGTGATGTCACAGCCCTCTACTGAGGGGCAATAAAGTGAGACTCCGTCTCTACAAAAAAAAAAAAAAAATAGGAGATCGCTCAGTACACATAACATCTAAGACTACTAAGAAGACTACTAAGAATTCTAGGGAGGAAGACAGAGAAACCAGAGGAAAAAGAAGTAGCAAAAAAAAAAAAAAAAACCAATGTAGGAAAAGTTTATAGAACTGAAGTTGTAAGTCTCCAGATTGAAAAACACATCTCTTTTATCCACAATGAATAACAAAAAAGACCTATCCAATGCAGTGTATAAAGGAAACATACTAAAAGTTTCCAGAAAGATAAAAAAGCTCATTTATTAAGAAATGGCTTTCCTAACAGCAAAATTGGGTACTAGAAGATTGAAAAAATGTCCTCAAAATTTGGGAGGATTTCAGGTCTACACTTAGCCAAACAAGCCAAATAAAAATATTATGACATCTAAGCATACAAAAAATATAACTTCAAAAGCACTTTTGCTTGTGAAAATATTCGAATATATACTTTAGCAAAATCAAGGCATTATAAAAAAGAAAAAGAAAGGGCAGTGCCTATGGCTCAAAGGAGTAGGGCACTGGCCCCATATGCTGGAAGTGGTGGGTTCAAACCCAGCTCTGGCCAAAAACTGAAAAACAAAAAAAAAAAAGAAAGAAAGAAAGAGAAAGACAGAGGATATAAGAAACAGACCATAATCAGAAGAGGAGCAAATGGAAGTCATAGGACAAGGTCTGCACAACAGGCCCAAAGTGAAATCCAGTGTAACCTGTGACAAGTGGTTACAGGAATAGGGTGTCTAGGAAAAGAATTGGGAGTTGTCATGTTTGATCATGTGGAAATAGTACAGAGATGGCTTTTATAATCCTTTTGGAAGACTTCAGAAACAGTAATAATAGGTATGCAGAAAACTAGGAAGACAAAAAAGAAAGCAATTATTAACCTTCAGAAAAACATGAGAAAAAAGAAATCAATATTGAACAATAATTACACAGTGATACTAACATAAACAGTGAAGACTGACTTACCTAAAATTGTGTTATGACTGTATTGGCAGGATGGTAGAAGAGGAAATAAAAAAACTAAATCTTCAAGTATCCCAATAGAAAATCAAATATCACAGGAATAAGCTTAAAGGAAGTAAAAGTGGTTGCATAGGGATAACTAGGTAACTCCTAGAACTAGGAGTTACAAAGGGGTAAGATAGGACACTGGTTTTTCTCT